TAGCGCACGCCTGTAGTTCCAGCTACTTGGAAGGCTGAGGTGGAAGGATCACCTGAGCCCAGCAGGTTGATGCTGGGGTGGTTGTGAGTGTGCCACTGCACTCCAGCCTGGGGGACAGAGTGAGACTCCAAATTAAAAATAAAAGATAACAGGGACTTGAGCAGAGATCTGTACACCAACGTTCATAGCACCATTATCTACAGAAGCCACAATGCAGAAACAACTAAAATGTCAATGACAGATGCATGAATAAACAAAATGAGGGGTGTGTGTGTGTATTTGTGTTATACAGAGATTCAGCCTTAATGTTCATATATATGAACATTAGAAAGAAATGAGGTTCTGAAACATGCTGCAGCATGGATGAACCATGAAGACATTATGCTGTGAAATAAACCAAATACAAAAGGACAAATCGATGTTTGCACTATGAAGGACCTAGAATAGTCCAATTCAAAGAGACAGAAGGTGGAACAGTGGTTCCCAAGGCCTAGAAAGAGGGGAGATAACGCGTTACTGTTTAATGGACACAGAGTTTCATTTTAGGACACAGAGTTTCATTTTAGGACGATGAAACAGTTCTGTGGTCAAATGGTAGTGATGGTTGCAGGACAATGTGAAGGTACTTTTAATGCTGCTGAACTATAGACTTACAAATAGTTAAAATGGTAAACTTTATGCTATGTATATTTGACCACAATGTTTCTAAAAACTGTGTTAGGATAAGTCAAAACAAAAACCCTCAACAATAAGAGAACAACAATAAAAAATGTACACAGGTTTTGAACACTTTGCCAAAGAAGATACAGGGATGGCAAATAAGCCTATGAAATATGCTCATGACATTTGCTATTACGAAACTTCCACTGACAATCACAGTGAGACACCACTAAACGCTTATTAGAATGGCTTGTTGACATATGACACCACTCAATGCTGGATACGATGCGGAGCACCAGCACTTTCATTCACTGCTGGGCCTGGATTCCACCCTGGCTGGTGCTTCTACGTTCTGAACTAGCCTCCCGTCTGTGAAGTAAAGATGCTGACTATCCTAAGGTTCTATGAATCGCACGTATCTCTATAGAAGAATGGTGGCAACAGAGCAAAATATTTCAATCAGTTCTCTTTTGGGATTATAGCTTCGGTCAGGTATCTCTGACCACCCAGACTCTTGCCATCAGAGCTCTTGCTTTTCAAACTCAGAAAGCAAATCGATTTGATAGCAACAGACACATATAATTCAAAATATGGTAAGAGCTTTAAGCACTAGATGGTTGCCAATTGTTTTAGTAATTACATAAATAAAAAATAATCTGGGTGCTATGGCTCACGCCTGTGATACCAGCACTTTGAGAGGCTGAAGTGAGAGGACTGCCTGAGCCAGGGGTTTTGAGACTTGCCTGGGCAACATGGTGACACCTTGTGTCTACACTAAATCAAAAAATTAACCAGTTGTGGTGGTGTGCGCCTGTAGTTCCAGCTATCTGGAAGTCTGAAGTGGAAGGATCACCTGAATCCAGCAGGTCGAGGTGGTAGTGGCCATGAGCATGCCACTGCACTCCAACCTGGGCAAAAGTGAGGCTCCATCAAGATTGAGTCTCCTAAAACATAGCCCCGATCACTGCCTCCCCTATGTAAGTCCTTCCATGCCTCCTACTGTCTCTAGGTTAAACCTGGGTTTGAATCCCATTCCTGCCCTGTGTTGGTTGAACCTGGGTGAGTCAATTAATCTCTCAAGACTAATTTCTCACCTGTAAATAAGGTGTCACGTATACACAGATGCTCAAGAATGGTTAATAATAATTAAATGGAAAAAAGGGGGGGAAAGAAAATAATAATAATTAAATAATTTTTAAAAGGCTGTCACTTTAAAAAATACTGCATACAAGAACTTACATATTCAAGTAAACTCTCTCTTCCTAACTATCACTGTTTTTAAAAGTTACTAAGAAAGGCCGGGCGCAGTGCTCAAACCTATAATCCTAGCACTTTGGGAGGCCAAGGTGAGATGATTGCCTGAGCTCACAGGTTTGAGACCGGCCTGGGCAACTTGGCAAGACCTTATCTCTACAATAAATCAAAACATTAGCCAGACGTGTTGGTGTGTGCCTGTGTTTCCAGCTACTTGGAAAACTGAAGCGGAAGGATCACCTGAGCCCAGTGGGTCAAGGCTGCGGTGGCCATGAGCATACCATTGCACTCCAGCCTAGGCAACGAAGTGAGACTCCAACTCAAAAAAAAAAAAGTTACCAAGTACATACCTCGTGCCAGACCCCGTAACAGTTCCCTTACATATATTTCCTCATTGACTATTCATAGCCATCCTTTGTGGTAGTTACTGTCTGCAGGCTCAGAAAGATAAATGATTACCTAAAACCATATCATAAAATAATTCATAGTAGTTGAATTTATAATAGCCCAAAGGTGGAAACAACCCAAATGTCCTTCAATGGGTGAATGGTTAAATAAACTGTAGTACATTAAAAAAAAAAAAAACTGTAGTACGTCAATAAAAAACAAACTTTTTTTTTTTAAAAACAGCATCTTGCTCCGTCACCCTGGCTGGAGTGCAGTGGTGCAATCATACCTCACTGCAGCTTCAACCTCCTGGGTGTAAGGAATCCTCCCACCTAAGCCTTCCAAGAAGCTAGGACAACAAGCACATGCCAACACGCCTGGCTAATTTTTTTTTATTTTTTGAAGGGACAGGGTCTCACTCTGTTGAGCAAGCTGGTCTCAAAATCTTGATCTCAAGTGATCCTCCCACCTCAGCCTCCTAAAGCACTGGGATTATAGGTGTGAACTACTGTGCCTAGCCAGGAACCACACTGTTGACACACACAACAACCTGGATTAATCTCCAGGAAATTATGCTGAGTGAAAAAGCCAGTCCCAAAAGGTTACATACTGTACGATTCCATTCATAAAACATTTTTGAAATGACAAAATTATTAGATAAACAGATTAAGGGCTACCTGTGGTTAGGAATGGGGAAAAGGGAGATAAATGGATAAAGAAATAGCACAAGTGAACTTTGTGGCCATCAAACAGTTCTAGATATTGTGGTAATGGCTGCATGAATCTACATGTGATAAAATTGCAAAGACCTATACATACACATACACACAAATGAGTGCATATAAAGCTGGAAAAATGTGAATACGGTGTGTGGACTGCACCAATGTCAATTTCCCCTGGCTTTGCTGTTGCACTACAGCCATGCAAGATGTTACTACTGGGGAAAACTCAATGAAGTTTACATGAGACCACTTTGCAATTTTTTTGCAATTTTCTATGAGATAAATTAATTTTCCAGACAAAAAACTTTTAAAAAGAAGTATACAGGCTGGGTGCAGTGGCTCCAGCCTGTAATCCCAGCACTTTGGAAAGCTGAGGTAAGAGGATTGCCTGAGTTCAGGGATTCAAGATCAGCCTTGGGTAACTCATCTCTACAATAAATCAAAAAATAAGCTGGGCGTGGTAATGTCCGACTCTAGAAGACCCGATTTACATATGAAATCTCCCAATTTTACATGTCAGCACTAAAAAAAAATTAAAGAACCACTGTGATGACTTTCAAGGTTTTTAGGCCATGGAAACTGTTCCAAGAGATCCACTTCTATCCATCCAGAGGACATCCTGTGGGAGGGGCAAGCTCTATCTCAGGGCTAGTGGTGTTAATGGCTGTTAAGCAAGTTCATCCATCCTGCACCGAGCTCAAAGGGACTGCAACGGCCAAACAAAACATTTCATGTGAGGTCCCTGTCCCTCTCTGGGGCTCAGTTTTCCTGTGAAATGGGGATACAAAATCTTGAGTCAGCTGTCAAACAGAACATAATACCATTTACTCAGGGGCTGTCACAGCCACCTGCTTCTACCTGCATCATCTTACAGTACCCTCTAGTAGGTAAGTTCTATTACATCCACATTTCACAGGTAAGAAAACTGTAGCTTGATGATAGCAAACAATTTACCTAATGAAAACAACAGCCAACATTTGCAAAGCCCTTTCTTTCCAGGGGCTTTACTGACTTAATCTTCCCAACAACTCTGAGGCAGGTGCTAGTACCGCCAGACGTGGTAAGGCAAATAAACCCTGCAAAGGGGTCTCCACCAACACAGCCTGACTCCAATACTCTAGACCAGCGCTGGTTAACAGAAATATAATGTAAACCATACAAGTCATTTAATTGTTTTAGTGGCCAAATTTTAAAAGTACAGACACAGATTAAATTAATTTTAGTAATGAATTTTATTTGACCCAATACATGCAAAGCATATTCCAACATGTAGCCGACATAAAAAATTGAGGTATTCTACGTTATTTTTCGTGCTCAATCCACACGTATTTTACATTACGGCAAGTCCCAATGGAGACTAGCTGCGCCCCAAGGGTTCAGTAAGCACATGTGGCTCGTGGCCGCCATGCAGGGCATGTGTTTACAGCTCATTTATTGAGTCAAAAGCAGAATCCACAGGCCCGCTATCCCCCGGGCTTCGGAGGACACGGCAGGATAGTGGCCCAAGGTTCCCGAGCACCTGCTCTGTGGTGGGCAGCGTGAGGACCTCGCACCCGTGGCTTCTGTCATCCTCGAGGTCAGGCGGGCGCTACTGCCCTTCTCCAGGCGGGAGGACCTCCTGCACCGTCCCTTCGCCCCTCCCCACGCCCGCGGCCCTTTCCCGGTCACTGCCAAGCGCCAGTCGATCGTGACCGAGGGGCTGTCCGGGCTGACCCTAACCAGAGTCCAGCAAGGAGACGCGCCTCCTGCATGCCCACGTGTCACTCGGCTAGGGCCCCCGACGCGACGTCGTCTTCGAAATCCGCGTCAGCCATCTCGGCGAGACCGTGCTGACCACCACCACAGGGGCCCGCCGCAACTTACGTCGGCCTTCGGCACACAACGCGCGAACGCGGGGTGGCGCCGCCGCCCGGATCCTGGGTCCGGCTTCCGGTGCTCGCGCGCGACCTGCCATAAAGAAGCACTCAGGGACTTCCGCTTCCGGCTGCCCCGGCGTCCGGCTGGTGCGAGTGATCTCCGTGCTCGCAGCCGCCTCGTGTCTGCACCCCGCCAGGGCTGTAACGGACTAGACCCTCGAGCGGGAAGGGTCTCCTCCTCCACCCCGCCCAGGCGCAGACGCAGTGCCGAGTCTGCGGTGCCAGACAAAGAGTGCCGCCGGAGCCATGGCGGCGATGGAACCGAGCCTGACGGCCGCCGAAAGCCCGACGGCGCCGCCGCCGGAAAGAGCGGAAGGAGCCGGCCCACCTCAGGGTCGCTCTGCGTTCCTGGAGGCCTTGCCGCCCGCCCCCGAGCCCTCGGGCTCCGACGCCGCGGTCCCTGAAGCGATTCCCAGGCCTCCGGCGGCGGCCTCCGCAGCGCAGGAGCCACCTCCTGGGCCCGCACCCCTGGGCCCCGCACCTCAGGCCGAAGCTGCGGCACGCCCCCCTCCGGTCCCCGGCGGCTCACGGCCTGGCCCCGAGACGTTCCGCCAGCGTTTCCGGCAGTTCCGCTCCCAGGACGCGGCGGGTCCCCGCGAGGCGTTCCGGCAGCTGCGGGAGCTCTCCCGCCAGTGGCTACGGCCCGACATCCGCACCAAGGAGCAGATCGTGGAGATGCTGGTGCAGGAGCAGCTGCTCGCCATCCTGCCCGAGGCGGCGCGGGCCCGGCGGCTCCGCCGCCGCTCTGACGTGCGCATCACTGGGTGAGCGGCTCCCCGGACCGGGCGCTCTGGACTGGGCACGATCGGGTCCGGGGCCTGAGCCTGGCATCCCACCCCGTGTTAATGAAAACAAGTTTTGGCAGCTCCTGTGGTCTGGTGTGTCTCTTTCGTTCGTCCTTTATTGGGTTTATTTTGCCGAGCCTGCTTCCCACCTCCTTTCTGGCTGATGGCGAAACGAAGTTGGGAGTCCTTTGTTCCTATTCCTTGGGCCTTAGTTGGCTGTTGTGGGCTTCTTAGATACACGGACCTGGGGCTGGGCGCGGTGGCTCCGCATGTATCCCAGCACTTGGGAGGCCGAGGTGGGAAAATTGCTTGAGCCCAGGAGTTTAAGACCAGCCTGGCCAACATAGCAAGACCTCGTCTCCACAAAAAATTTAAAAATTAGCCGGGCGTGGTGGCGCGGGCCTGTAGTTCCAGCACTGGGGAGGCTGAGGCGGGAGGATCGCCCGAGTTCAAGAGGTCGAGGCTGCGGCGAGCCGTGATTGTGCCACCGCACTTCAGTCTGGGCGGTAGAGTGAGACCCTGACTCAAAAAAAAAAAAAAGATATGGCCTGGGCCAGCCCTCCACCACATCCGAGCAGTTTTTCTTTCAGGCACTCAAGAACCCGCTTGGGTTTCCTGCAGGCAAAACAGCTGGCACTATTAAATGCTGGTCTAAGCGGCTACCTCTATACCAATAGTCACCGACTTGCCCCACCCTCTGCCTTATTTTAATGTGACGTTTCACAGCACATTCTTGCAGATAGACTAGTTCTTGTGAGCCCTGGTTTGTGCCTCCAGCCTTGCTCACTTCCTTGCCAAACTTCAGGTCTCTGGTAGGATTTAAGAAGAATTGTGTGAACTGACTTTACCTGATGCTACTCGTTTTGTTGTCTGCTTTTTGCTTTTTAAATAGCATTCTTGCTTAGAATTTGGCAAGTAATGGGGATGACCTGCTATTAAATCTTAAGCCTGCTCTGTTCTTAAAGGCTTCTGCCAGGGAGGAGCTAGTGGGGTCTATGAGCAGCTTGGATTGATCCCAGAAAGGCCCTACTGCAGCGAGTACCATCTATTAATATAAGGAAGGCCAAACCTGTCTTCTTGCACTGCTTTGAACAATCAAAATATAAAACGCCTGTAGCTCACACCACAAAGCATGAGCCAGAATGAGGTGGAAGTTGGTGTGGGGCATTTTGCTTCTGAATATTAAAGACACATTCAAAAGTATTTTTGCATCCTTTCTTGTTAGAGTTTGCACCTGCCTCCCTGCAAACGATAGCTCTGAAGGTAGAAGGTAAAAAAGCAGACTTCCTTTTAAAGGTGATGTTTGGGAAAGATTAATACATAGTAAAAATTGGATGAAGAACTTTAAACACTCATGCACTGCTTAATGATAGGGATATGTTTTGAGAGATGTGTTAGGCAATTTTGTCATTGTGTGAACCTCAGAGTGTAATTACCCAAACCTAGATGGTACAGCATACTACCCACTTAGGCTATGTGGTATAGCCTATTGCTTCTAGGCTACAAAGTTGTACAGTGTGTTACTGTACTGAATACAGCAGGCAATTATAACAATGGTATTTGTGTATCTAAATGTAAAATACAGTATAAAAGATATACCAAAGGTATCAGAGGAGGAGAAAAGAAGATTTAAAAAATGGTACATCAAGCCGGGCTTGGTGCTCAGCCTGTAATCCTGCGCTTTGGGAGGCCGAGGTGAGTGAATTGCCTGAGCCTGCGGGTTCGAGACCCGCCTAGGCAACTTGGCGAGACCTCATCTCTACAAAAAAAAAAAAAAAACCAGCCGGGCATGGGAGCGCACGCCTGTAGTTCCGGACTACTTGGAAGGCTGCGGCGGAAGGATGCTGGAGCCCAGCAGGTCGAGGCTGCAGTGGCCGGGAGCAGCCACTTGCACTCCAGTCTGGGTGACAGTGAGACTCCGACTCAAAAAAAAAAAAAAAGGTACATCTGTATGGGCACTTACATGAATGGAGTTTACAGGACTGGAAGTCGCTCTGGGTGAGTCAGTAAGTGATAACTGAATGTGAAGGCCTAGGACTTTACACTACTCGACTATAAACACTACATTTAGGCTACACTTGAGTTTACTTTAAAAAATAAACCTTAGTTTACTGTAACTTTTATAAACTTTTAAATTTTAACTTTTTGACTTTTGTTATAACACTTAAAACACACTGCACAACTATACTAATCTATTTTCTTTCTATACTTATTCTATAAGCATTTTCCTGTTGTAAAGTTTGCTTTTTTTACTTTTAAACTTTTGTTAAAAACTAAAGGTTCATGCAGTAGGACCATCAAGACATCACCAAACAATGGGGACTTTTCAGCTTCATCATGATCTTATGGGATCATCGTGAAGATGCAGGACAACACTGACAGAAACGTTATATGGCACATGACTATAATTCAGTAATATGTGACTGAAACATAGCAACAAAAACCTGTTTTATTTTTTCCAAATACAGATACAGAAGTTGCATGTTTTTCAAATATTGCTTCAAAGCAACATTTCTATCTACAGCGCTTTCTGTTCTAATAGCGCGTAAACATAGATATGTATCCACAGTGCAATGTAGGCTCATCAAGGATCCACCTTGCATACACTTATCACTTAAAGAAATAAAACAATTAGTCAAACCACAACTGTTTTTTCAAGGTAATTTTTTATAGGTGGATAGTTTTTCTCAAAAGATAAAACTTAGGTAGTGCACATATTTCTAAATGGTAACAGCAATGTTTGTAAATAACAGTTTCCAGTGCTGCAACTTGGGGTTAACTCAACTTGACCCACGATATGGGAATGGAGCCCCGCAACATGGCTTTTAATTAGGGAAGGACACTGAGGTTATGAGAACTTGGGGAGTCTTTCCTGCTTCCCTAAGCACAAAAGTCACAAAGAGTGAAAAGGGATTATTTCCTTTACATAACCTAAACAATAAGCCCAATAATGGACAATTGACAAAATTAGGATAATTCAGTTTCTGCTTCCATCTTTGAAAAAGACATGAATTTGACTACCTTAAAAGTTACAGCTTCCACAGATGTGACATACTCAATGTACTTTCAGAAAAGAAAAATTAGTAATCTAATAATACAACAATCATCATACCTCACAGTTGTGGCTATAGATAATCATCCTGTTTTCTGTCTTCAGACAAGCATCACACAATTCTTAAAATGCAGCTGTCTGAACAGATGTCATGCACACTTTTTGGGCATTTCTTCCCACACTAGAAACAATGGTGTTAGCAGTGAGAAGTAGCCCTTTCTACAGGAATTATGTCATCTTTATTACAGATGTTAAAGCCACATGTATTCCCTCTTGATGGGTAAGCAATAGCAGGTCAACTTACACTTGTCCTATAATTCATTTTATATCAAATGGTGAACAAATCACTAGACAGTGCATTCCCTGAAACAGACCTTAGGACAGAGGCCTGAATTAATGACCACAATGACCTGTGCCTAACCATTTCATAGACTGCTGGAGATACTGTCATTACTATTGAGATACTGGCTACTTCATGTTTACATAGTAAATATTGCAGCATATAACATTACAGATTCATAAACCCATAATTAACTTGTAAGTGTTAATGGACAACTGTGCTTTGAATTTTGCCTTCAGTAATAAGAAAACTTAAGTAGTGAAATGGATCATTCCTCAAAGCATGGAACATTTTAACTTTGCCTAGTAAGGAGAAACAAAACAAAATACAGCAACTCTATGTAGAATCATAACCTGCAAAGAAAATAGGTTGTACCTCGACCTTAAGCAGCATAATCACCTTGATCTCACAAAATAATACAAACGGGAAATGTAAAGTGTTATAGTAACAATTCTGAAAAAGCCAACTACTGAACATACCCTTCAGGGAAGGAGAAAAGTGGCACGTGTAGAATCTGAAGTTGGTTTACAGCATTATAAAACATGGTAATTCCCCAAACCACATTCTTTGTAACAAATCTTTACAGTGAAAGAGTTCAAAATTTTGGAAACATTTTTGGACATTAAATAGAACTGGGAAGTTGTCAATACTAAGAAAGGTCGAATACGCTGTCCTTTGGGTCCCAGACCCTGCCTGTTTCTGTTTGGAATTCTTCCTGGATTCTTATTACAGTAAGATTCTAGCTTCTCCAGGGAGGTAGGGCCTCTGTTACAAAAGCCATAACCCAGCCCACTCTGGGGTGAAAGCACATAAAACTTGTCCCCAGTACCATGAAGTCATGCAGAAGATGTGGTGAGAAAAGTGAAGAGTCCTAAGGAGAAGGCAAGGCTGCCTAGGTTCTGCTTCTTCCTGACCTCCACGGAATGGTGAGGTCACAACATTCCCATGAAGCTAGAAAACGAAAATGATGGCTGCTGCCCAAACATCATGCCAGGCAGAAACCAAAGGGTTGGCATGTGCCCCAATCCAACAGAAAAGTCCATTAAATAAACTGCAAATTCAATTTACAATTGTTTCCAACTAAATGTTTTTGGCTCTCATTCCATTTATCATCAGTGGCACGATTTCAAGTGAAGTTTGTGCAAAAAGACTCTTCATTCAACGATACGCACAGAAGAAGGGAATCACAAGAGTCTATTTGCTGCCTTCTTGGTAGGCTTTGAGATCAGAGTGCCCTGCCTCAGCCAAAATGGCCTGTGTCCAACATCCATACACTCCTGCCCAGATCCCTGAAGTCAGTCGGTCACGTGCATTCGGCATGCTAGGGTTATTTATTTAAATATGTGAAGCTCCTCCTGCAGGTGCTCCAGGATTGTGCCCCCTTTAGCTTTGGGTGCCCAGTTTCATGTTGAGCAGCATAGGGCGATCTGCTGCACCTTGCCCAGGTCCGTCAACAGCTGCTTGATGCAATGCTTGAGCTGTGGAAGCCTGGCTAACGGCTCAGGGGGCTCCAGCTCCCCGCTGTAGTCCAGCCAGCTCTCCAACACTGTCAGCAGAAGAGAGAGAGAAGACTCAGAGATAAGACACTAGACTTGTAAGAACACCAGTAAGAGTTTCAGTACCTTATCCCATCTGGTCATTCATGGGAGGGTCATTTCAGCCAACGCTGAGCCAATGCCCTCTCTACAAAGTATTACTCCTGGGGCAAAGCTCAAATGCTTTACAGCAACACAGTCCAAAATAATTTTCTGTGGCTGGGCACGGTGGCTCACACCTGTAATCCCAGCACTTTAGGAGGCCGAGGCAGGAGGGTTGCTTGAGCCCAGGAGTTCAAGACTGGACTGGGCAACATAGTGAGACTTCAGCTCTACAAAAACAAAATCAAAGAATTAGCAGGACATGGTAGTTTGCATTAGTAGCCCTAGCTACTCAGGAGACTGAGGCAGAAGGCTCAGCCCGGGAGGTAGGGGCTGTGGCGCATGTGATGGCGCCACCGCACTCCAGCACGGGCGACACAGTGAGCCTCCGACTCAAAAGACGGAAACAACCAAAACTAGGAGACAGGGGACTGCTCAGCAAGCACACACACACAAAGCCAGTCTTTGGCAAGAAGATCCCACAGTCGCTGAGAGGCCCCGCTTGGGTGGCCTAAACTACCTGGGTCTGGTCCAGGCCCAGCGAAGACCCCAGTGCTGTGGTGGCCCAGGGCATGCACAGGAGGAGCGACAGCAAGACCCAGACCAGAAGAGCCTATGCCATTTGATAATCGCTGAGCTTGGTTAGCAGGAGTGTGTGGCGCTCCCAGAGGAAGCCCGGCTGTCCAGGTCCGCGGGGCCAGAGAACACACCAGGACCATGGGGAGGGCAACAGCATCTTCTCTGGACCCGGTTTTCAGATTAAATCCTCAGGCATCCTAAAAACTCAAGTCACAATTATAGCTCCCCACAGAATCTTGTTTGTAAAGAATGGCTTAGATGACACATTTCCTGTAAGCAGAGTTGCCAGTTGCTCTTTTCCTGCACGGCTGCCTTCGCAGGAGGGACTGGGCAAGTGAGGCAGGACCCCTGATGTCATGCAGACTTCAAATTGCCCGGTAAATACTCAATGTAAGGCTTTTAGCCCTCTTGAGGAGAGAACAGAGTCGGGGTAAAGCTGAAAAGAAGAAAAAGTAAGACTACAGCTGTCCCTGGAAAGCCAGGTCGGGGGGTTCAGAAAGCAGCTCCTCTGGGGGGTGCTCAGAGCGCACGCCAGTGGGCACAGGGTCAAGTACGGAGCCTTACCATCCAGCTCTTTCTCAATGGAGTCCATCCGATGCGTGACTTCATCCTGAAGAGATTCCACGTGCGTCAGCAGGTTAAACTGCCACTGGTGCTGGGAGCTCAACAGCCCCTCTCCGCCTCTGTCCAGCAGCTTCCGAGCAGGGGCTTCCTCTGGTAGAGCCTTTTTGGAGACATAGTCCTTCCCCTGGGGATGCAGTAGCATGCAAGTTACTGAGCAGAGATAGCCTCCGGCCCCTTTTCCAGTCAGTCAAGGTTTGCAACTGAGAAACCAATTGTAGTTTACTCCAATTCCCTATCTTCCTTTCCTCCTGCCCACTTGGGAGTTGGATAGAAGCTTACCAATACCAGTGCCAACAACTCAGGGCAGCCCAGACCTCTGGCTCCAGGGGCCCACAGCTGCTTCCTTTGACTGGCCCAATGCCCTAGGCCTGAAGTAGTTTCACAGAATGGCTTCCCGAGCCCTGAGAGCTGACTAGAACAAGTTAGTATAGACAAGGATTAGTAAGTGGGAGTCACACACACACAGGCTTTAAGTCTTAGCTCTGTCTCTGGCTGTATGTGTGACTCTGGATGGGTTCCTTTGCCTCTCTAAGCCTCTGTTCCCTCCAGGGGGAGGTGGAGGTAGTAAATACAGCTTTGAAGGTGTGTGAGGATGAAACAGGATGAGACACATAAGAGCAATGCCAGCTGAGTGTCAACTCACCATCATGAAAGAGAGTTTAAACCCTGGCTGCCTTGCTTAGTCCCAGTTACTTCCTGATTTTGAATTATGTGCCAGACTCCTCTAAGAATCTGCCTTGTCCACAGGGCCACAAACATTTTCTGGGGTTTGGAATCTCAATCTTTCACTGGCTCATTTGAAATAAAATAGATTCTAGCTAATATTTACTCAGTCCTTACTATGACACCTTTGTCAGGGCTGCTCACAAATACATTCCATTGTAACTGAGGGGCACACAGTCCCTGGTCCTATCCTACAGGTGAGGAAACAGTCTGATCAGGGAGGTGAGATCACTCACTCAGAACCACACAGTAAGGGGTTTAGCCTGGAACTGATACTGAATCTGTCTCAAAAGACGGTTTCCTTATCGCCCTTGGTCAACACTGTTAAGACACTGGCAAGGGCACATGGATGAATGAAGCACAATTCCCACCCTGAAGAGGCTTAAAATCTAGGATGCTCCATCTCAGCAACAGGCAGCAACACACCTAAGGCTGGTGACAGCAACCTGCAGGAGAAAAGTCTGTGAAGTAAGGCTGATACGGGCAGAGATGCTCTGAAATCACACAAAGCCTCACTGACAACTGAGGACAGGTACAAGAAAACCAGTGAACAGGTGAAGATGAAAACATCGGCAAAGAGGTGACACACAAGGGGCTCCAGAAGACTAAACAAAACTGAGACTGGTTCCAGGAAAAACTGATGAAACCAGCAAATATTTTGACAAAATGAACCCTTCTTACAAAGGAGCTTCCAAGGTAAAAGTCAAAGTAAAGTTACCATACAATTGGACTGAAGATGATTATGCCTAACAAAACACTCAACTCATTGGCTGCCCATACTAAGAGTGAATACCTAGGTGCAACTATAATGTAAAGTGCCCTGAAGAAAACCTGAATTTTCCTGACCCTTTTCTCCATGCTACTGCTCACTCTCCACCCCCACCAACCAGGTCATTTTTTGGTGTTTCTTGGAACCAATGATCTTTGGCATAAGTGGACTCTCCTGACATTTCTATGTCATGTCGTATCACATAATTTTTAATTTATTTTTAAATTTATTTTTATTTTTATTTGTTTTTGAATTGGAGCCTCACTCTGTCGCCCAGACTGGAGTGCAGTGGCACACTACTGGCCACTGCAGCCTCGACCTGCTGGGCTCCGGCGATCCTTCCACCTCAGCCTTCCAAGTAGCTGGAACTACAGGTGTGCGCTACCACACCCAGCTAATTTTTTGATTTATTGTAGAGATGAGGTCTCGCCAAGTTGCCCAGGCAGGTCTCGAACCCGCGGGCTCAGGCAATCCACTCACCTCAGCCTCCCAAAGCACGGGATTACAGGCTGAGCCACCGAGCCCAGCTATTTTTTTATTTTTTTGACTTGTAGTCTTCTTCTGTTGCCCAGGCTGGAGTGAAGTGGCACGATCTCAGTTACTGTAGCCTCGACCTGCTGGGCTCAGGCAATCCTCAGCCTTCCAAGCAGCTAGAACTACAGGCATACTCCATCACGCCTGGCTAATTTTTTGAATTACTGTAGTCCTGCCAAGTTGCCCAGGCTGGTCTCGAACCCCTGGGCTCAGGCAATCCTCTCACCTTGGCCTTCTAAAGTGCTGGGATTACAGGCATGCCCAGCCTGTATTCACTTTAGCAGACCAAAAACACCTATAATATGCAAATTTAAATACAGCTTTATTAATAAATGTCTTCCACAGAACGTTTAACCCTAGGAGGAGAACTTACAAGCATCCAAGCGTTGAATGAAGAATAAGTACAAGAGAGCAACATACCTTTGGGGAGCTGGGTTTGGAGTCGCTATCTCCCCTGCTTCTGTCCTGGTCTAGAGGCCAGCCCAGGCGTGGGGAGAGAGAATCATCACCATTCTCATGGAGGGGGTTGACCGCATCATCCAGGGCAGAACCCCGCGTCTCCACCACCAGCTTCTGCTCCACAGCAGGGTAATAGGCACGGGGTTTCTGGTAGCAGTGCTCACTGGTGATATAGGATTCCTCCACAGACTGGGACAGGGGCAAAGGCAGGGGCCGGGGCTTCTCCATTGACCCATTCAAAGTTCTATAGCTTGGGGTTTCCTCCTTACTCCTGGTGTCCGTGACATGGATGTGTTTGGAATGAGACCTCCCCTCCCCTGAGTGCTGTTTCCAAGGCTGGCACCACAGCTGCAGATCAGGATGCTCCCGGCTTCTGTAGGAAAGGCAAACAGGGAAAAGGCTTTGGAATAACTGGCATCATTGCAGGGGCTTCTCAATGCCCAAACATTCCCAACAAAAGGGAGAGTCGCTCCCACCTGGTCACAAACTCCAATCTGCTAAGCAAGAGGGAATGTGATCCTCGGTCTCCTAGGAGACCACTTCTCAGTGAGCTCCCACCACAGACACACACAATGACAGGGACTGGACTTCTAGCTGGAAGACCTGACTGCCTTTCAGCTCTGCCACCAATCAGCAGCACAGCTGGGACAACTCATTCAACCAGCTTCAATCTTGTTTCCTCGTCTGTAAAACTGAGCTAATCATCTGCCATCAACCACTGAGTCTTATACAGATGAAGTGAATTAATCCGAATGGCAGTACTTTTTGGGCGGCAAAGTGCTCTTCAAATGTGACTGCTAAACATAATTTTAACTTATTAGTAAATAATCACAATAATCCTGGCATGAAATGGCACTCGACTACAAAAATGCAGTGATAATCCAGAGAATAAAAAACAAATCATAGGCCATTCATAGTAAAGTTTCTAAAAATTCTTCTAAACTCTATTCTCATCATTCCAAAGAGGAAAGTTTGTTATTAAAGAAAAGAACAGAGGCCACACCTATAATTATAGCAGTGGCTCACACCTATAATCCTAGCACTGTGATATGCCAAGGCAGAAGGATCGCTTGAGACCAGGAGCTCAAGACCACCCTGGGCAATATAGTGTGACCTCATCTCTACAAAAATAAAAAATTCACTGAGTATGGTGGCGTATGCCTTTAGTTCTAGCTACTCAGGAGTTTGAGGAGGGAGGATCACTTGAACCCAAGAGTTGAAAGCTGCAGTGCATTGTGATTGGGCCACTGCACTCCAGTTTGGGTGACAGAGTGAGACCCTGACTCGAATTTTAAAAAATAAAATAAAATAACAGACTCTTATCCTGTTTAGGGTCATAGACTCCTCTGAGAATCTATTGAAAGGCATGCCTTACAGGTATGTGCACATAAAACTCCAGAGATAATTCTGGAATTTTCCTAGTGTAATTTACTCTTTGAATTTCAACCCAACAGAGAGCCATTAAATTATTAGATCATAATCAATTGTAAAAAAGAAAAAAGAATAGAATAAATATATGTAAGACTAGGCGTTTTGTGCAATCTTAGTTTCTATTTTATATGTGTAAGCAACATAAAATGTATTTCTTTAGTGTGAAATCCCACACTGGAATCTATCTTTAAACGTTTAAAAAGTCATTATTTAGATAAATTTTTATCTTTTGACTTTACAACCCAGAACTTCCATTATAACATTAGATCATTAAACAAAAAGAAAAAAGAAGGAAGGAAGAGAGGAAGAAACTACAGAGAAATAGTGCTTCTTACTTAAGGCTCACTACCAGCAGTCCACAGTGGATGGCAGTGCCCAGGGGGTGTCTGGAAACAAGTGTGAGGACAGAGATATGCTACTGGCATTTAGTTTATTTAGAAAGAGGTTTAGAAACATGTGGGGTCTTTCCAGTTATCACAATGCCTGAGAGCTACCTACTGGCTATTTTTTCCTTTCCATTTCCTTTCCTTTCATTTCATTGTATCTTATTTTATTTTTTGAGTAGGAGTTTCACTCTGTCGCCCAGGCTAGAGTGCAGTGGCATGCTCATGGCCACCACAGCCTCATACTGCTGGGCTCAGATGATCCTTCCACCTCAGCCTTCCAAGTAGCTGGAACCACAGGCACACACTACCATGCCAGACTAAATTTTTGATTTACTGTAGAGATGAGGTCTCGCCAAGTTGCTTGAACCCCTGGACTCAGGCAGTCCTCTTGCTTCCATCTCCCAAAGTGCTGAGATTACAGGCATGAGCCACCGCACTCGGCACCTACTAGCATTTAGTATTTAGTTCCTAGAATACAAGGGTACTAAACATCCCGTAATGCTCAGGTAATCCCACACAAAGATGAATCACCCCACAGTAGAAGTGCCAACAGTGCCTTCCCAGCCTCCAGAGAACACTGCATGTGAGCAGCTTAACCCACCAGCAACTCCCCATATGGGTACCCCCCGCCTATTACCTAAGCCTGCCTGCAAAAGTGGAACTGGTCATAAACATGAAAGCATACAGTGATGTTGCAGAACCTAAAATTCTTCTCCCAAGGGCCTATAAACATGCCTTCTCCGTTCTTCTTCTCTACCACTCCTATCCCCTGGGAAAGGAGAGGAAATGACTATGGGCATCTGTCCAAGAACCCTATCCAGGTCCAGAGACACACCTCTGAAAGTATGATTGCTGGAGGAAGTAGGGGGTCATTGGCTTTAGAGTCCATTGTCATCTGAGACCTGTTAACATGGAGCACATGAGCCACAGTATAGACCTGCGCTTTACAAAAATCTCTCAAGTCTTTGCTTCCTCCCTTCCAGCGAAGATCTGAAAGTGCTACGATGCTCACCAGGATGGTGACCTGGCCTTTCCTTGCAAGTTCTGTCAATTGTGAAGAAGGTCTGCATAGCCATCCAGGCCACGTATTTTATGATGACAGATGCTTTGAAGTTACTTCCAGTTTCATTGTTTGCCTTTGAAAATAAACTCATCAGGTCACTTGGAAACAACACTTCTTAGAATGAAGACCCTGAGCCCTGAGAGCAGGGGCTATCCATGTGTACACAGATATACTAGGGCTGCCTCCCTCTTTCCCAGAATATTTCTGTTATTTATTTTTAAATTTGTATTATTAGTAGACCTTTGCACTCAGAGACATCTAGTGGATCACTTACCAGCAATCTGACCACACTCTTTAATGAAATAGTGAAAAATGAATCACTTAATATAAAATACTATAGTGTTGGAACCAATTATTTTATTGTAATAATATTTGGCTTCTAATGGAATTTTGGATACTGAGGAACTTATGAGAAAAAAAGCAAAATTTTACAACTTATGTTTCTAACATGTGGCAATGTATAAAACAGTCATGACATGCATGCATTGCAGATTCATTGATACATATTGTGCAATAGTAATTTGCTTGACATCTTCCACCTGGTGTTTTCTTTTCTTTTCTTTTCTTTTTTTTTTTTTTGAGTTGGAGTCTCACTCTGTCACCCAGGTTGGAGGGCAGTGGCATGCCCACGGCCACTGCAGCCTCAACCTGCTGGATTCAGGCAATCCTTCCACCTCATCCTCTAAGTAGCTGGAACTACAGGCAGGCGCCATCATGTCCAGCTAACACCTGGTGTTTTTCCATTTGAGCAGACAATTTAGTCTCGTTTTCTTCCCCCCACATTAATAATATGTAATTTATTGTCCAGTCTGTTGTTCGGAGATGTGGAAGGACACACTCACGATTCCTGAAAACCACTTCTCCACTGATTGATCATATCTCAGTATATATTCCATCTCTTTATTTGCTTTATCATGCAATTTGAATAGAAAACTTCAAGGATATGCACTTTGAAAAATTTGCTCTTGCATAAGTTTGTCGTGTATAATCACCAACAATCTCTTTATGTCCCCTAGCAGGGAACATTCAAGTGGTTTGCTAGATTTGATGTCCCCTCAGAGGGACATAGGAGTGTGCAAAGTGTTAAGAGATGTGGGTCTCGCTATGTTGCCCAGGTTGATCTCAAATTCCTGGCCTCAAGCAAGTCTCCGCCTTGTCCTCCTTGGCCTTCCAAAGTTCTGCGATTACAGACATGAGCAGCTGGGCAGCTCTCAGGATTGTTTCTCCATTCATTGATCTCCATATGCTCTCTTCCAAATTAAAGTCAATTTTAGTTCTAGTCAAAGATAACAGATCTAAACTGGGATTCAGAAGGGACTAGGCCCTAGAACATGGAACAGAGCCAGGAGTACTTTATTTCAATAAGAAGAAAGAGAGCAGCATCTGATAGAATCCTCAAATGAAAGAAAATACAGCAAGGTCTACCATCAGGAGCATCACCTGAGGGTTCCCCAGGCCATGCATGGACCACTTTCCACCTACTTCAGTTAATTGCTGGCATCTTTTTTTTTTTTTTTTTTGAGTTGGAGTCTCACTCTGTCACCCAGACTGGAGTGCAGTGGCTGCTCCCGGCCACCACAGCCTCGATCTACTGGGCTCCGGTGATCCTTCTGCCTCAGCCTTCCAAGTAGCTGGAACTACAGGCACGCGCTACCATGCCCAGCTAATTTTTGATTTATTGTAGAGATGAGGTCTCGCCAAGATTCCCAGGCGGGTCTGGAACCCGTGGGCTCAGGCAATCCACTCACCTCAGCCTCCCAAATGCGCGGGATTACAGGCTGAGCCACCGATCCTGGCTTGCTGGTATCTTTTAAGAACAAACTCAGTTGGTTTATAAGGAGTAAAGTTTTTTTATTTTATAAAATGTGAGGGAATAGCTAGTCTCTGGCATTCTATCCAGGGCTATTATTTGATTTCGTTCACTGTGATAGATACTGTCACAGTGACTGCTAACTGTCGCAGCATCCAATCTCCCTTCCTGATAAAGTCTGGACGGCTGGTCCGTCCAAATCTCACGTAAGACATGTGATTCCCAGTGTTAGAGGTGGGGCCTAGTAAGAGGTGGCAGGATCAGGGGTATGGATACCTCATGAATGACTTGGTACTGTTTCGTGATAACAAGTGAGGTCTCGCTCTGTTAGCTCACTCAGAGTTGGTTGTTTAAAAGAGTCTGGCACCTCCTTCTCTCTCTTGTTCTCACTCTTGCCGTGTGACACTCTGGTTCCCTTTGTCTTCCATTTGGAATAAAAGCTTCCTGAGGCCTCCCCAGAAGCCAAGCAGATGCCAGCACCAAGCAGAGCCAGAAGCCAAGAAACCTCTTTATAAATTGCCCAGCCTTAGGTATTTCTTTATAGCAACACAAAACAGACTAATACACTCACTTTCTCCTCTTATACCCATCCTTGCCCCTACTCCTGAGTTTAAGCAGGACATGTGACCACCTGGCTAGCTTCCCCTGCCTCTCCTGGGGCAGAACTAAGGTGCAGGTAGATG